CCAGAAACATGGCAGAGAGCAGTCCCCATCTGCCAGGCAAAGGTTCTTAGCCAGGAATCATTTGGTGGCACTGTGGGCATACATACGGAAGGTGGGAGTCATGGTGAATCTTCCTAGACCAGAAAAAGCATTAGCCAGAAGCCCCAGAGAAGGAATGAAGGAGGTTAAATGACATCACAAAAACAATTTCATGATCATTTGCCTGTGTCCTTAACATTGAGGGTCCATACCTTAAGAGATCGTAAGATCTTTCATTTGGCTTTCTGAAAAACTCTCAGTCAATTTTTCTTTACTTCAGTGAAATGAGCAAGAATATACATTCTATGCAAGCCCTTCTAAACATGGTGTCTCCTCTTTTGTGAAGACTTGGATGGTGTAGACTTTGAGAGGTCTCTCTCCCTTGGACTGATGTCACACACAAAAGCATTACTTTCTAAAAGCAACGACTTAGATTCAAAAACCGAGATGTACTGTTATAAACCACAGTAATGGGAACAGCTAACATCACACTTCAAAACATCATCTTCTTTTTTTATTCCCACAAATTGTTCCTCTTCCCATTTGTTCTGTTCTGGCAGAGTGAAAAGTATGGGTTCTACATCAAATTTATTACGGTGGCTCTAAATTTAGACTGTGATCTGTTTGCTATTTTTCTTCCCTTTGTGTGTAGATGGTGAAATCAACGTTTATTGATAACCTAATTCTGCCATGTCTATATATAACTCTCTCTTTCTCTCCCCCCTCACAGTAATCTTCACACATTTTGAAGAATAGATTCTATACACAAAAACCCACACACACCTTAGATTGTGAAACTAACATCAGTTTGAATGGCTTCATCCTTTCCACTTCCCTTTCCCCACACTTGTCTGTGTTGCTCTCTCACTCCAAGATAGGATTTGGCACACATTAAATGATTAGTTTTTAATGCTCTTTCGAACAATAAACATGCAGTAAAAGAGGCTCAGAAAATACAAGTGCAGAAAAAGAACAGCAATAACAATTTGTTTAAATAAAAACCCTCAACAAATAATGGGTTTGGATCCAGAGGTCCTGAGATAGAATTTTCACTCATAGAATATGGGAGAAGCAATTTTCATAGAGTTTCCCTTTTTGCTTCAACCCTCTGTACTCCCTAGCCTGAGCAGGAGGATTGGAGGACAACCCCCCACCCACCTCCAAAAGTGAAAGAGATGAGCCAGGAGACTTCAGGACTGCAGAAAATTGCCTCTGTTCTGTGAGTTGCAGTCTCTACTGCATCACCATCATCCCAGTGGAGGCTGATGTATTAGGTCAAATGGGGTAGTAATCCATCTACCTCAGTCTGCCTGCACTGTAGAAGCAGGGCAGGAGGAGGTCCTGCCTGTTGGCATCCTCCTCAGTTCCAGTGCTGCCCTTGTAGAACTCAGCAGGGAGGACAATGGGCTCTATGGCTTTGGATCCACCTACTTTGGTCTCCCTACCTTCTGCCCCATCCGACTTAATGGGCACCAGCCACCACTGCATCTTCCTGTGCACCTGTGGAGTCCTTTCAGCTCCTCTGGATCCTAGCCAACATTGACGACACCATCCATTCTTTGTACTGGTGTGTCCCCAGGGCACCTGAGTGTCTCCTAAACCTCGTCATCACCTTCCTGAGTGCTAGTTACAAATGTGTGCCAATGACATGAGATCTCATCACTTGACGAGCCACCAGTGCAAACTGGTGTCATTGAAAAGTGTTGTGTCTAGGATGGTGTGCAAGATGACCTGAGAGCTCTGCCTGTGGCATAGTTGATCTGTGATGGTTCCTTCACACATGCAGAGTATTGCTCCCTGCTGCAGTCATTATGTGCTGAGTTTTCAGCTTGGTACGCTAGCTGGAGCTAACCTGGTGCCCTTAAAATGCTGCTGGACTGCACTACCACCGTCCTTTATCATTGTCTATGCTGGCTGGAGTTGATGGGAGTTGTAGTGCAACATCTGGAGGTCTGCATATTGACTGCCGCTGGGTTAGAGTGTTGGACTAGGACTGACCTGGTTTCAAATGCTCATGCAGCCATGAAGCTCTCTGGAGAACCTTGAGCCAAACCTAGGGCTAGACTAACCTACCTCACAAAGTTGTTGTGAAGATTAAAGTTGGGGTTATATATATACCAGCCTGAGTTTTTGTGGAGCAGGGTGGAATAACAATTCAACAAATGCCAAATTCATGAGCTGAAAGGAGGGGGGGAATGGGAGAGTCCATCTTTCCTGTTGGTTCTGCATTCTAATTAAGATGGGCAAGCTTATTAAGCTCAGCTGGGAGAATTACTGACAGGTGAGCAGTAAGAACATAAGTATATAAGAAGAGCTCTGCTAGATCAGGTCACTGTCCCATCTAGTCCAGCAACCTGTTCTCACCATGGATGTGAGGGTGATCTGGCTGCAACATCTGTCCTCACCATGGCCAGCCCGATGCCTCTGGGAAGTTAAACAGCAGGTTCTAAGCGCAACAGCCCTCTCCCCACCTGTGAGCTGCAACAACTGATATTCAGAGACATACTGCCTCTTGACAGCAGAGGTAAAATCTTTCAAGATATATTAAAGAAACATGCATGCTGATTTAACAGTGAAGGACTATTAGCTCCACTGGCTAGTAAATTAAATTAATGCCCCAAACTCACTTTAGAGAGAGACTTCACTTGACATTTTATGATTTAATCCACTCTGTACATGTCTGGTAGAAACAATTAAGTAGGCAGCAATTGAAGTGACAATGCATTTAGGGCCTGGCACTCGTATTGTCCTTTGGGGCAGAATCAAACAGGAGGATCTCCTCTTGAAACCCCCATCAAAATGAATTAGAACTGCACAAGACAGGGGCTCTTCTTCAGCCCCCACTAATTTAAATGGGCTTGGGCAGGCAACCTTTCCTGTAGATGACACCCTCTGAACATATAGAGGAAGGAAGAAAAAGCTTCCAGATCAGAACAGCATTTTAGAAATTTACTCTCCCCAGTTATAAACTGCTGGGCGAACAGAACAAGCAGTTTCTGGTTGTGCTGCATTGATAATCTCTTACTATATTACGTTCCTTGCGCTGTGATCTACAAAAGAACCAGTAGGCGGAGTTTTTTTTCCAGCACAGGGAAGCTGAGAAATGCAAAGGAGAAAGGAAGCACCCTGCTAAATAGCTGTGCTGTTGTTGTTTTTAAATTACACTTCTGCGTTCAGTGCTTCAAAGAGAAGATAGCACCATGGATTCTAGGGTGGCCAGGAGACTGGAATATATCCTACCGCTGTGGGAAAAAGGGTAACTTAGATCTCTCTGCTTCATGTGTGAGTGTGATAGGAAAAGACAGCTGGAAGGGAAAGAAGCGTAGTCTAATGAAGGTACATGACATATTTGGAACAGAATAAGGAGAACTCCAGATTCCCTTGTTTTGCAAAGCACCACGTGGCATAATATGCTCAGACAACAATGTCATGAGTATTCAGGGATATAGACACTTCCAGTATACAATGGTACCTCGGGTTACAGACGCTTCAGGTTACAGACGCTTCAGGTTACAGACTCCGCTAAACCAGGAATAGTACCTCGGGTTGAGAACTTTGCTTCAGGATGAGAACAGAAATCGTGCGGTGGTGCAGTGGGAGGCCCCATTAGCTAAAGTGGTGTATCAGTTTAAGAACAGTTTCAGGTTAAGAACGGACCTCCAGAACGAATTAAGTTCTTAACCTGAGGTATCACTATAACAGTTATCTAGTTGTTGAAACTTTTAAAAAATTCTGCCCCCCACACCAAACTTGCATGAAGCTCAGGTAGGTCTGATTGAGAGATGTTGACACTAACCCAAGGTCACCCAGTAGGGAGTTGCAGTTGAGTAGATATTTTGACCAGTGATAATCTACAGTACCAAGATTGGATAACTGTCTGCACATTCAGATGAATCCTTGAACTGCACCAACTGTGAGTGGACGATCTCATCTTTGAAAGGTCCTTCACATTAAACACCACCCACAACTTCTAAGTGATGGTGGTAGGTAGCAATCAAACATCAAATGCCAAACTGTGGTTTGAAGTGGCACTGCCCCTGGGATAATTGCACCATATGCCTTCCCTAAACCCTGGGGGTTCTTCTAAAGAAGAAGAAGAAGAAGAAGAAGAAGAAGAAGAAGAAGAAGAAGAAGAAGAAGAGTTGTTTGGATTTGATATCCCGCTTTATCACTACCCAAAGGAGTCTCAAAGCGGCTAACATTCTCCTTTCCTTCCTCCCCCACAACAAACACTCTGTGAGGTAAGTGGGGCTGAGAGACTTCAGAGAAGTGTGACCAGCCCAAGGTCACCTAGCAGCTGCATGTGGAGGAGCAGAGACACAAACCCGGTTCCCTAGATTACGAGTCTACCGCTCTTAACCACTACACCACACTGGCTCTATAGTTGTGTATACTGTTCACAGGCCTTTCTGTGAGGACTGGATGCAACTAGTTCATTGCTTTTGGTTACTCGAGTTCTCATGTCTTTGGTTTTTCTGCTCTGCAGATGTGCAGTTGGCATAAGGTTATTCCACACCACGTTATCCCATCTTTGGTGATGCTATTTCTCCTTACTGCAAAGAGGAGAAGGTCAATAAATGGGCTAAATAAGCACAATCCAAAGTAGTTTGCCGCCAACTGGATTAGATGGCGTAGCCTCTTCTTTTTGCACTGCACGACTGCTTGTTCTTCGGATACAATGAAACGCTTGCAAAGGACCCTGTCAAAATGGCAAAAGAATAAGAAAAGAAAAGAAGGAGGCTGCTGAGGCTGCTTGGATGCAGTCCCAGTGTCAATTAGCCTTGGTTTCAAGTGGTTTATGGCCGAGTCCTTCTCAGGTGGAAGGAATCATGGTTCTTTTAAGTGTCCTATGTGTGCAGCTGCATCATAATTCCCTTCGAGTGTTCCCCAAAGTGGTAGCTGCCTGTCACCGAGTCCAGCCGTTTTGTTCACTAATGTTAGTCCTTGTACTCTGCGACTCGGGAATCTTTCTCTCTTAATAGGCAGGTCAAGGCAAGGACCTCCACTCATGTCGGCGCCATTCCCACGGAAGAGCTTGGTTTCATCTTTGCGATCATCATTCATAGTGTCACCCAGAGTAATTATTAGTGGACACTTGGCTGCTACAAGAAACACACACACTCTGTCATCGTCCCAGGGAAGCCACGGAACCAAGAGGTGGGGAAAACAATGCTGATTTACTCTCTTTGAAGAATAGCAGAGGGGAAAGGAAGTTAGCTCCACCGGGTGGATTTTCAGCCTCTCGGATTTTCAGTCCATGCTGAAGATTTTAAGATTTTATTGTTTTATGTTCATTGTATTGTAATTCCACATTGTATTGTATTATATTGTAATTTTTCATTTCCAATATATACAGTACATATTGTATTTGTTATTTTGTAAACTGAATAGAGTAGGGCTGCCACATGTCCGGATGTTACTGGGATTTCAAAGGCGGAATTGATGTCTAGGGGGGATTTCTGATAGGTGGCACTTTTAGGCAATTGATTTTTTTTTGTGTTTTTGTAAAAAGAAAAGAAAAGAAATCTCAATAACCTAGCATAGAGACCAGTGTTGTTTTAAACCACAGAGCCTAGGACTTGCCGATCAGAAGGTCGACAGTTCAAATCCCCGCATCAGGGTGAGCTCCTGTTGCTCAGTCCCTGCTCCTGCCAACCTAGCAGTTCGAAAGCACATTGAAGTGCAAGTAGATAAATAGGTACCACTCCGGTGGGAAGGTAAATGGCGTTTCTGTGCACTGCTCTGGTTTCGCCAGAAGCGGCTTAGTCATGCTGGCCACATGACCCGGAAGCTGTACGCTGGCTCCCTCGGCCAGTAAAGCGAGATGAGCGCCACAACCCCAGAGTCGGCCACGACTGGACCTAATGGTCAGGGGTCCCTTTACCTTTACCTTAGGTGCTGGAGCTCACCATGAACACCTCCTCCATTCTCTTAGAATGGCAATGGCCCACCTGAGAGGTGCCAGAACTGAGTTCTGGTGAGTTCCTGCTGGAAAAAAAGCCCTGACAAAGACAGCATATAAGCAGCATATAAATGTGTGAAATAAATAAATAATGAATACAGTGATACCTCGGGTTAAGAACTTAATTTGTTCCAGAGGTCCATTCTTAACCTGAAACTGTTCTTAACCTGAAGCACCACTTTAGCTAATGGGGTCTCCCACTGCCACCGCACCACCACTGCACGATTTCTGTTCTTATCCTGAAGCAAAGTTCTTAACCCAAGGTACTATTCTGGGTTAGCGGAGTCTGTAACCTGAAGCATCTGTAACCTGAAGCGCCTGTAACCCGAGGTACCACTGTATAGACAGATTTGTCGATCCCTGTCATCAGCCCAATGGGTTTTGCAACTAAGTATTACCCAGAGTGGACCCATTAAAATTAATGGATCTTCCTTAGTCATTTTCATTTTCTTTCTACTCTGAGTAAAAATAGTTGACTACCACTGCTCCTGTTAGCAACTGGATGAAAGTTACAGAATGAAGGATTGCGCCATCTTCTATTCTTTATTGGGTTTTCTCCTCCTACCCTACCCTGTGGGTTCAAGACATCTCCAAGAACAAATCCCAGTAATGATTATTCTTATCAGACCAATGGTTCACCATAATCAGACATGCCTGGGAAGTTTATGTGCAAATGCCTTTCTTGCATTAGGTAGTACGGTATATTGTCTCCAAACAGAACTGCACATTTGGCTACCATACATTTATTTATTATATTAATCCACAATTGCCAAATAACATTGTTCTCTGGACTTCACAGCATAAAATGACAAATTAAAAAAAAGCACTATATTAAAATAATTTGCAGCACTCAAACTGTCTTATAAGAACTAACAGATCTAACATATGTTGGGATTCTGGTGCCAGGTTAAAACATATTGGTTCTCTCAGACCTTTGGAGAAAGTTAATTGAAGCCTTCCAATGTCCTAGGATTATTCTGAGTTCTTGTTTCATTGCCTGTGATGGCTTAATTGGCTTTAATTGATTTTTAATTGTGGCTTTATCCTGTACAATATGTTGTTTTATATATTGTTTATGGAAACCACTCTGTGATTGCTACGCGATGAAGGACAGTCTGGAAGTCTGGTAAATAAATAGATGGAAGCTGTTCATGTAAGTGGATATCACATTAATCTGCTGTGAAAAGTGTGTTGTGTAAAGATTTGCCTTCAGTAGTTTCAAACTGGTAGCATATCAGTGTCAGAGGATAACATTGCATCCACTGAAGTGGGCTCAAGTCCACAAAAGCATGTATAATATATATATATATGCTTTCGTAGATTTTCACGGGTACAGGAATGCAGGTTTTGGTGTCCTGAAGATGACGAGTGAGACCTTGTCGAAACGTCGCCTAGACACCCCAACTTTTACACGGGAAGACACCCGAGGACACCAAAACCTGCATATATATATATATATATATATATATATATATATATATATTGCCACAGTAAAGGTGTCCCAAGACTCCTTGAGTAGATGGTGCTGAAGGTTTTTGCATTTTGAGAGGAGATATTTCCCTATTCACTCCTCTCCATGCTACTCACAATTTTAATAACATGTATAATATTCCTGCTCAGCATTCTGAAAAATAAAACAAATTCCAAAGCTATATGTAGTACAGTGGTACCTCGGGTTAAGAACTTAATTTTTCCTGGAGGTCCATTCTTAACCTGAAACTGTTCTTAACCTGAGGTATCACTTTAGCTAATGGGGCCTCCCACTGCTGCCGTGCCACCACCGCATGATTTCTGTTCTCATCCTGAAGCAAAGTTCTTAACCTGAGGTACTATTTCTGGGTTAGCGGAGTCTGTAACCTGAAGCGTCTGTAACCTGAAGCGCCTGTAAGCCGAGGTACCACTGTAGTTGGCATTCATCTGTCGGGAGACAATGGAGGAGTGTGCTTTTGGGGGTGAAGTCAATTTGCTGGAGAGTTACATTACCTGCTGTGGCTGTAGAGACAGATAAAGGAGAGACATGTTTTGTTGCAGCTGATGAATGTGTCCAGTTGTGCCTATCATGATATATCAACATATCCTAGTCCCAAAGAGAACGACCCTGTATTTTCTGAACTGACCCCCAAAGACTGGCTCTTTTGTGACATTTTGGAGATGCATACGTCAGTGGAAAATACACACAAAATCCATCAAGAGTGAAAGACACAATAACATCTTGGAACAAGGGGGCATTCCTCATTCCATATCACGAGGGGATGCGCTCATGCGTTCCTCTCTACTCCACTGATGCCGCCAAGAAGAGGAGTTTGGAGTTTTTGGCTTCCATTATTGATTAGCCGCAACTTGCTGTGTTGTCCAAACCTGACATACTGTGGTGCATTTTAACAATGGTTTATTTTATACAACCCTTCTTCAACCACAGTTTGTGAAACAGGCATGCTTCAACAAACAATAGTTAAGATTAACCATAGTTTGTACGTAACACTCAACTTCCGTTAACTGAAATTGGAAGCAGATGTGACCATGCTGGAGAAGGAGAGGTCTATGAGTCTAGGAGAAGGCAATGTTCATTCTCATCATAATAAACCATAGTTTATTGTGGCACCTGAACACAACTATGATGTTTGTTTTAACTTTAACCTTGTTTAAGAAATAATAACATGGATATGTTCAGTGGTCTTTTGTATAAACCGATTAGTGGGTTCTATATTAGAATTTTCTTTGAAAATATCTAACAACAAAGGGCACCTTGCTTTTTAAATGTCTGTGAATTGCCTATTGAGGGGGGGGGGAAGGTCTCCGTAAGAGCGCATGTAATATGTTTTGCATGTGTTTGCCTTTCAGGCCTGACAAGTGGCACACATAGTTTGCATTTGGATATCCATGCTGATGGACTAAGAGTAATCAATGATGCAGTTTGGTAATTTCAGACCCTGGAGTTAATGGTCATATGGAGTCCACCCCCCCCCCAAGCTAATTTGCTTCAAAATGTGGCAAAATAGCCCTCCTGCCTTTGGGGACCCTTCAGCTCATCTTGTGAAGTAGGGCCTTGGACTTCTGCCCCACAGTCCTGCCCTGATGGCGCCACTGGAGTAATTGTGCTTTATCACATTCTAAGAGCCTTACTTATGCTGGCACAGGAAGCTTTATGATGGATCTGGTAGAATCGCAGCAAGAATGCATGATGTAAGTTAGGACCCTATTCTTGCCAACAAAATGGACAGATGAGAGAGGTGGGGCATAAATGGAAACTGGAGCCAGACCTAAATAGCATTTAGCTCAGATTATTCACAATCAATCTAAAGGCTAAAATGTATTCATAAACTGATTTATGAAAAAAGGCTTTGATTAATGAACTAATTGCCAGCCATGTTTGCTATTAATTCAGGAACTGAATACGAGCCTGGCTAAAAAGTCTATCATTTTAAAATGCAGCTTTCATTATAAGTATGTTGACTGGCGCAAGATAGTTAATCACAAAGCTGGGAAACAATCAAATCATGCTCATTTACTTATTGTTCCATTTCAGACAGTTCCCAAATGAAGTTCTTCCAAGAATAAGCTTCTTTTTGTTGGAAATGCTCAAGGAAGATTGATCACAATGAAGCTGATTTAGAGTGTGCCAGGTTGGGCTAACTGACCACCATCTTTGAAGTTAGAGAGTTCAGTGGCATAGCGTGGGTTGGACCCTGGGCTCAGAAATCTTAGGGGTGCAAAATTTCAGAAGAGAAAAAAAGAGAGCGTTGAAGTAATAAAGAAAAAACAGTGTATCCTCCCACTCCCACAGAAAATCTCCCAATGTTCACGTGAGTAGACTAAGGAGCAGATTTGGGGGATGGCTGGTTGCTAGGGCACCCTCTGCACAAGCTTTAGAAAGATATCCTCTCCTGAGCAATCCCCTGTCTCACTCTCTGCTGTGTTTGATGCTCACAGGGAGCTGCGGCTGCCACTCAGGTAGGTCACTGACCTATTGCCCCTTTGTTCCAGCCTATCAGCATGTGGTGCTGATGATACTTGCCTTGTCCCGGATGCTGGCAAACCACACTACGCCACAGTCTACTCTGCGTGAAAAACCTGCCTACAAAGCAAGCAGAGACAGAGAGAGCCATCTAGCGGGCAGAGTGGTAACGACGCCTGGAAATCTTTATCTAGAACTTACTTTTCTCCTCTATGTTGAGTTTGTTTTCTCCTCTCTATCCCCACCCCAGTAGCCCCGCAGTCCACCCCCGGACTCCCCTTTCCCCCCCCTCCTCCTCCCCTCGCTCCTCCCCCTTACGGTCTCCCCTAGGTAAAACGGAGTGGAGACTCTGATGGTGAGACCTGCTATTTAATATTTGTAAAATCAACTCCTTTCATACA